AAAATAAATCATATAATTCCAACCCCCCAAAAAAATGGATGATTTAGACCAATTAAAATAAAATTTAAACTCCTCCTTCTTATAGAAAAATATTTTTTATTTGTTGGTTCAATAGAACAAAATAGAGAAAATATTAAACTTTAAAAAAGATAAAATTTAGTCCCAACCCCCAAAAGATAAAATGGATGTTTAAGACCAATTAAATTAAAATTTAAACTCCTCCCTTTTAATAAAAACTATTTTTCATTCGTGGGTTCAAAAGAACGAAATGGAGAAAATATTAAACTTTAAAAAATATAAGTCTCAACCCCTCACGAAAAAAACTGCTATTAGCCAATAAAAAAATCAAACTCCTCCTAAATTTTTATTCATTGGTTCAGTTAAACAAAAAGGAGAAAAATTTATTATTTAAGAAATAAAACATATAATTCCAACCCCCAAAAAGAAAAATGGATGATTTAGACCAATTAAAATAAAATTTAAACTCCTCCTTCTTAAAGAAACCTTTTTTCTATTTGTTGGTTGAGCTAAACAAAATGGAGAAAAAATTAAATATTTAAATTTAAAACATACTATTCCAACCCCCAAAAGAAAAATGGATGTTCTAGACCAATTAAAATAAAATTTAAACTCCTCCTTCTTAAAGAAACCTTTTTTCTATTTGCTGGTTCAATAGAACAAAATGGAGAAAATATTAATATTTAAAAAATATAAAATTTAGTCCCACCCCCCAAAAGAGAAAATGGATGTTTAAGACCAATTAAATTAAAATTTAAACTCCTCCCTTTTAATAAAAACTATTTTTCATTCGTGGGTTTAAAAGAACGAAATGGAGAAAATATTAAAATTTAAAAAATATAAGTCTCAACCCCTCAAGAAAAAAAACTGCTATTAGCCAATAAAAAAATCAAACTCCTCCTAAATTTTTATTTCGTTCTTTTGAACCCACGAATAAAAAATAGTTTTTATTAAAAGGGAGGAGTTTAAATTTTAATTTAATTGGTCTTAAACATCCATTTTATCTTTTGGGGGTTGGGAATAAATTATATATTTTTTAACGTTTAATATTTTCTCTATTTTGTTCTATTGAACCAACAAATAGAAAAAAGGTTTCTTTAAGAAGGAGGAGTTTAAATTTTATTTTAATTGGTCTAAATCATCCATTTTTCTTTTTGGGGGTTGGAATTATATGTTTTATTTCTTAAATAATAAATTTTTCTCCATTTTGTTTAACTGAACCAATGAATATAAATTTAGGAGGAGTTTGATTTTCTTATTGGCTAATAGCAGTTTTTTTTCTTGAGGGGTTGAGACTTATATTTTTTAAATTTTAATATTTTCTCCATTTCGTTCTTTTGAACCCACGAATGAAAAATAGTTTTTATTAAAAGGGAGGAGTTTAAATTTTAATTTAATTGGTCTTAAACATCCATTTTATCTTTTGGGGGTTGGGACTAAATTTTATCTTTTTTAAAGTTTAATATTTTCTCCATTTTGTTCTATTGAACCAACAAATAAAAAATATTTTTCTATAAGAAGGAGGAGTTTAAATTTTATTTTAATTGGTCTAAATCATCCATTTTTTTGGGGGGTTGGAATTATATGATTTATTTTTCAAATATTAATTTTTTCTCCATTTTGTTTAACTCAACCAACAAATAAAAAATTGCAGTTTGAAAATAGGAGGTGCTTATTTTTATTGGCCAGAAGCTTTTTTTTCTTAATGAATTAAGACTAATTGTAACTTTTTAAAAATTAAATATTCACTCCCTTTTTGTACTGTTGAACCAACGAATAAAAAAATTGCTTTCTTAAAGTAGGAGGAGTTATTTTTTATATTCTACTGAATATAATACCTAATAATTAATTTTCAATCAAAATTAATTGTTCATGTTATTTATTTTTTACATGAAATTGTTTAAGAAATTTTTATTTAAATTTATTTTTCTAAGTAAAATACTGATTTTTAGCTATGAATAATATTTATTTAAATAAATTAATTTATTTTAATAATCCAAAAAGTTTTGCTAAATTTCTAATTTTTGATCACATTGTTTAAAAAACATTTTTTAAAAGTAAAAGATATGATTTATTAGTAATATCTCTTAAATCAAAGAAAGCAATTTTTTTCAATGTTTACTATATTTACACATCATTTTGAAACTTCGCGCGTTTATCCAAATCAGTTTCTTTCGTTCCGCCGTTCAGAATATGATTGTAGTCAATCGTAGTCTGCTACAAGTATCACGCATGTTACCAATACATTGACAGGTCTCACAGTTCGCATATTTATCATTAATAATTGCACAATTTACGATTTAATTCAACTTAAATAATGAATAAATCGACTATAGAATAGTTAATTTATTAATTATAAGAGCTTTTTCTAACATTTTTAGTTTTTTTAATGAACTTTTTTCCACTATTTAAAGTCTAACACTTAATTTTTTTAAATAAAACCTTAAAATAAATAAAATTAACTTCCTAAAAAATATTCTGCAATTTTTATTTCTATTATTGTATAAAAATTTTCAATCTTAATAATCTTTCTTATTATGTTTCCTTTTTTTATTTTTCTGTAATAAACCATGTAATTTAAAGCCATGGACAAATGTCACTTACGCCATCTGTCGCGCAAAACGCGCGGCGACATATCAACAGTTTATTCTAATATCGATCTTACACACACATACATCCTACACTAAAACTGACATTTCCTACTTTAAACATTAATTTCTCAATAATTTAACTTTAATTTATCCTAAAAAATAGATTAATTTCATCCTAAGATATTCATTTATTCATTTCAATAGTTTTTTTAAACTGTTTTCATCTAATTTGTAAAATATTATAACGAAATACGAAGTGACGACGAAGTGACGACGAATTCGTCGTAATTTCGTAGTTCACCCATCCGCAAGGGGAGTTAGAATTGTTTTGCATTCATTTGTGAGTTAACTTTATACAACATTTGTTTCTCAGATAGATTTATACTGAACTGACGTTTAAAATAATATTATCTCGTCAGGAGGCGTCGAAATGTTTGACTTTCTGCTGTGAAATCGCAGAGGGAAGTACGTACTTTCGACCGAGGTATGAAGAAAAATAATTGAGTTTACAGTTTTCAACAATAAATGAACTTCAAAAGGCTTTAATTTGAAATCTTATAAAATATCAATTTTTAATGAATTTAATTAGAAATTTTAAAAAATTTAGAATTTTTAAAAATGTTAATAATTCAAATTTTTCTTGAAATTAGTTAAATCTGTTAATATATTTAGTTAATTATTAAAAATAATGAATGTATAAAAAAAATTTAATTAAAGACACTAAAAAAATTTAACTTTTCAGAAATTACGAATGATTACAGAAATTCAATTAATTCTTACAAAAGTTCAATTATGTTCAAAATTTAAAATAAATTCTCCTCAAAATTACAATTATATCTTTATAAATAACAAAATTCTTCCTCCAAAATTATTTTTACAGTGTATTTAATTGAAGAATTTTGGAATAATCATAATTTCCTAGAATTTAATTGTGAACAAATGGTTTTAAAAATTCTCAAGGAACTTTAAAATTTTTTAAAATATTTTGATTTAAAGAAGAATTTTAGTTAAAAATTACAGAAAATAATAATTGAATTGAAATGATAAAAATAATTTTTATGAAGTTACAGTGACAATATTCTTAATGTAAAATAATAATAATACTTTTATAAGTTGTTTAATTTCAAAAAGGTTTGAATTTGACATTTTTAAAGATCTGAATTCCTGTGGTAAAATAATAATAATTAAATATTTATTAAAAAAGAAGTTATTGATGTTTTCGAATAATTTTACAATTATAAATTCGTAAATACATGTAACAGAACATTTTTTTGAATAAAATTCTTTTCTTTATTTTCTAAAAACTTTAAAAATTTCAATTTCATTTTTAATTAAAATTTCCAATTGACAGATAGAATTTATAAACATTTATTTTCTTTAATTTTAAAAACCTTTGAATTTTATTAAAGCAATTGTTATTAAGAAATAGAAATTATGCAAATTATTTCCTTTTGAAAATTAAGAATTTTGTACAAAAATATTAAGTAACAGAAATATGTCATGTTTTTCTTCTCAAAATAAAAGAATGAGTTTGTAAACAATATTGTTATTGAGAAATAAAAACTATGCATAACATGGATACATTTCCTATTTCTTAATCATAATTTTTTAACAATTAACAATTTTCTGAAATTTTTTACAAATAAAAAGTAAAAAAATTTGCATAATTTAGAGACTGCTGAAAATGGCTTATCAAGTGAATTAAATATTTTCTATATTGACAACACAGTAGATGGCAATGTATTCCAGTCCTATTTTTTTATCTTTGAATATCAACTTACAGGAAAATGTTTATTTCCTTAATATTCTGGAGTGAAGGAAATTTATTTTTTATGCCATAATAATGAACAAAATTTAGAAAAACAAACTAAAAAAATCTTCGAGTTTTTGGTGTAGGCTGTTTTTAAGGTTTCAATGAAGCTTCCTTTGAGGAAAACATTTTGAGCTTCAAAGAAGCTTTCCTTAAACTTTCAAAGAAAGATTGGGAAGATTTCACTGGAAGCTTCTGGGAAAATCTTGTACTGTGTGGATAAAAAAACATTCAAAATTAAGTGTGCTAACGGAATCCTTTTCGAATTTATTTATAATGTTTATTTGCACTATAAGTCTATTAAAATATATTTAATATTGGAGAAAAATCAATTCAAATCTAGTAACCTATAAGAAGAGTTATGTTAGTCTACTAAAAATATTATTATTTGGTGCAATGGAATGACCGATACTTTTGAAAGCTTCTGCGAAATGTCATTTAATGAAGTATAAAAATTCTAATGAAAAAAATAACAATAGGTCAAGCGATTTGTAATCGTACATTCATTGAATTATTCAAAATGAACACATAAGAGAATTAATTATTCACTTAAAATAACCAAACCGTATCACTCAGTTCTTGTAACTGTTGATACACAGTTCTTAATTTTAATCGTGTTAGTATTATAATTCAACTGTAATTAATTAATTATTAATCTATACAGGATCGGATATATATATATTTTTAAAATGGGTCTTATGGACACTATAAACTACTATTATTATGATTTGTCTGGTAAGATTAATAATAATTTTCTAATTAAACAATTTTTTTCGTTTTAACTATAGTAAATATTTCGTCAGCTTGGTAGAAACCTACAGAAGAGACTACTGTAAAATGGATATTAAAAGTTTATAGGTCGAATTAAATGTAAAAAATACTGACAATTAGAAAGTGATAATCAAGAAGTGATTCTCATAAACCCAAATGCCTTCGCAGTCTATTTCCTTTTCTATACGTTATATTAGTGACATGACGGTTAAATGTTAAATAAAAATACTTTCTCATGTGATGAGAATGTAAAAATTAAAAACTTTAATAAGATCAGGTGAGAGAAAAAAGTGTTACAAATTTGCATCAAGCAGATAATGTGAGAATAAAGTGAGAGATAGAAATACAATTCTGAAATTTAAAAGATAGTTCAAGAAATATTTTCCAAGTTAGTGTGTCTCAGTGTGACCAGACTGCAGACTCTGATCCCCCCACCATAGCGCCAAACGTACTCCTTCCATATGCCACTAAAACACTCACACTCCGCGCGTTTCACTTGTCGGTGTGCCTCTTTTTCATTTTTCTATATTCGCTAGATAGACTAGGCGGATACTCAACGACAGTAGGCTAGAAAAGAGGCGCGACTTTTAAAATTCCTAATTCCACACGGAATATTAATAAAAGCTAAAAATGGTTTTTTTCAACGTTTTTACTTAAAGAAATGAAAAAGAGGCACACCGACAAGTGAAACGCGCGGAGTGTGAGTGTGTTAGTGGCATATGGAAGAAGTACGTTTGGCGCTATGGTGGGGGGATCAGAGTCTCCAGTCTGGTCACACTGGTGCAATATGTGTATCCGACTTGCGTCCCTAAGGTCAAGAGTTCTAGACCTCTAGCATGCCATATTTTTTAAACTCAGTTTCAAGTGTAATATGTCTTCTACAGCACCAAAATTTTCCGAAAAATTAATTTTTCTTTTAATTCTCTAAAAAAATTAGAAAAATAATAAATAATGTTAGTATGAAAAATACTAACATTTTGAGAAATAGCATTATAAGCATGTGTAGTAGTAGTAGAAGTCAAGGAGAATTTCATAGAGAGAGGGAACGAAAGCTGAGTCACTAGTAAGTCCAGAGAAAAGATTTTGAAAATTTCACTTTAGGAATTTTGTGCGTCCCTGTACAGTGCAAGTGTATTCAGAACCGCGTATACAACAGAATACAAATAGAAATTTAATTAAAATTTTTTTAAACGGCAAAGGTAATCGAGGAGATGGACCGGTATGAAGAGCGTATGAACAGTTTGATTCTTCATGGACCGACACAACAATTAAATTTTTTAAAATTTTGAATCTTCACGGACCGACTCTACAAAATATAATTTTTAAAATTTTTGATTTTTCATGGGCCAACTCTACAAAGACCTGCTCTACAACAATTTCATTTTTCAAAATTTTGAATCATCATGGACCGACTGTACAAAGAACGAGTCTACAACAATTTAAATTTCATAACTTTTGAATCTTTGGGGATCGACTGTACAAGAACCGGCTCTACGAAAATTTAAGTTTTAAAAATTTTTAATCTCTATTGACCTGCTCTACAACAATTTAATTTTTCAAAATTTCAAATCTTTATGTTTGATTCTACAAAGACCGAGTCTACACTGTAAAAAATTTAGGGAGTTAACGGACTCGGGAGTTGGGAGTTAAATTTTTCGAGTTAAAAATCAACTCTAAAAGAGAGTTAATTTCTAACTCCCTTCATTCAACACCCGCGCGAGTTATTTTTTCCTTGGGGAGTTAGCATTTGGGTGTGAAATTTTAACTCTCTTTACTTAACTCCCCTGGCATTAACTCCCCAATGGGTGCGACTTTTATAGACCCCCCGGGGGAGTTAAAATTTAACTCCCTTTTTTTACAGTGTACGACAGTTTAATTTTTCAAAATTTTAATCTTTGTGGACCGTCTGTACCAGGACCGACTCTACGACAATTTAATTGTTCATAATTTGGAATCTTCATTGACCCGTTTTACAACAATGCAATTTTTCAAAATTTTCATGAATCTTCATTGTTGACTCTACAAAGACCGACTTCACAACAATGTAATTTTTCTAAGTTCTTCAAAAATTTGAATTTACAGTTTTTAGAATACGGTTAAAGTTCGATAAAGTACAGCACAGTTTGGATACACAAAAAAGTGGTTTTTCGGTAATAACAAATAATTGGGCTTTTTAATTTTATACTAGCGCCGTATACCTTTTTCGCTAATGCTCGTTCGGTTGTATTTAAACTTTTTTTTACTTATTTATTTGAGCTAAGTAAATATTAACTGGACATAAATATTTTAATTTATAGTAGCAAAGAAAAAGTTATTTGTACCAAATACGAATTACTTTTAAGTAAAATAAATGGAATAATTGGATCTAATAAATATTGCTCTAAATCAATTATGAAAATTACTTGAATCAATAATGCATGGTTTTTAATTCAAATAAATATTTATTTGACTCAATAAAATAATTTTTTTGAAATAACTAAATATTTATTTATTCAAATAAATGCCTATTTATATTAAATAAATTAATCTTTTTACATTTCCATACGTAAAAGAATTATCAAAATAATAAAAATAAAAATTTTGTACTATCGACTCTGCATTCTAAGGACTTAAGCCTGGAAGTATTAGCACTTAATTTTTACAATTAAATTAAAATTTCAATCCCTACGTTTCAATTCCTACGGGGATTGAAACCCAGAGGCACCTACATAACCTATTCCAGTTCAAAATGTCAAAAAATTGATTTTTTATTTTTTTTATTTGCGGATTTCTTATAGTGTCAAGAATACTCTCCTAAAATTGTATTGCATAATTCGAAGTAAAACAAAAGTTATGCATACTAACTTATTCTTCGCCATGTCAAAGATATTTTTATATGCGGATAAGCAGAACTAATCGGATGATTTAAATGTTTTCTTATTTGCATTTTGTAAAAAAGACAAACAAAAATGTATTTGGTGTTGCTGATCACAAATTAGATATCAAATTTTCAAAATTCAAAATGGCGGATCTAATATGGTGGAAGAGAAAATTAAAAATCAAGTGGATTCGCTTGAAAATCGTTGCTCTGGAATTTTTAGGGTTGCTGATTACGAATATGATATCAGATTTTTTAAATTCAAAATGGCGGATCCAATATGGCGGCCAATTTTTTTTAAAAAATCATCGGATTTCCTTGAAAATCGTTACTCGAAGGTTTTTGGGGTTATTGATCACAAATATGACATCAGTTTTTAAAAATTAAAAATGTCGGATTCAATATGGCGGGCAATTTTTCAAAATTAAACAATTTTGAATTTCAAAAATCTAATATCATATTCGTAATCTGCGACCCCAAAAACCCCCCAGTAACGATTTTCAAACAAATCCGATGATTTAAAAAAAATTGTCTGCCCTATTGGATCCGACATTTTGAATTTTAAAAATCTGATACGATATTCGTAATTAGAGACCCCAAAAACGCTTCAGTAACGATTTTCAAACAAATCCGATGATTTAAAAAAAATTGTCCGCCCTATTGAATCCGACATTTTGAATTTTAAAAATCTGATACTATATTCGTAATTAGCGACTCCAAAAACTCCCCAATAACGATTTTAAAACAAATCCGATGATTTAAAAAAAATTGTCGGCCTATTGGATCCGCCATTTTGAATTTTAAAAATCTGATATGATATTCGTAATTAGCGATCCCAAAAACCCCCGAGTAACGATTTTCAAGCAAATCCGATGATTTTTTAAAAAAATTGTATAAACTTATCATCAATCAAAACTTTAAGTGCGTCTATCTCAAAATGTCTTTTTTATCTGGTAAGAGTGATACTTCGAGTTCTTATGAAGCGATTTTGAAAAATTGAACGGCATTTGATTCATTGTCATCATGTCTATATGTGGAACCTCAAAATCTGGAAAATTTCCAACTCCCTTTTTATTTATAAGAGAAATTCTGAATAAAAGCATGTGTTTTTCATGTTTTGGGAAAAAAGTACTCCAAAAAATGGAGGGGAAGAAAATGTCACTTTTTTGAGGTTCCACACCTGAAGAAATATCTAACGAAGAGAATGTCACTTCGTTCTTGGTTGTATCTGTTTTAGAAAGTTTGGAATCGATCTTACTATAAGAAATTGACATTTTTGAAAATGGCGTATATCGCCGCCATTTTGAAATAAAAATAAAAAATTCTTTTTTTGCATATTCTTAAATAAAATATTTGTCACATGTAAAAGAAATTTTACAAATAAATGTCATAGTTATTTTCATAATATATACTAAAAAAGCCTTGTTATTTCCTGTTTTCAACTGGAATGGCCCCTTAAAGACATTGACAACCGAACAAACTGAAAAAATTATATTCAATATGTCTATATAAATTGCAAGTGTAAAAATCTCAAGATTTATATACTATTCTTTACTATTATTTTTATAAAATTATTTGAAATTAATATGAATCTTAATAAAATTATTATATTTTATATATTTAACACATATTTATTATTTATGTAATAGATTTTTATATTGTTAAAATAAAATTACCTAATATCAATTAAGACAAATAATTTGTATTTATATCTAACATTCGTTTATTTGAATCAAATAATTAAAGTAATAGTTTAAAATTACTCATTTATTTTCGTTTCAATAAGTGATTTATTTGATACAATTATTTTTGTTTTTTGTTTTTATTAAACACTTTATTAGCATTAATTGATGCATTAAATAATTTAGTTTACTTGAAGTCATAAAATAAATAAATAAATTTATTGTTTTAAATAAGGGAGAGTAGACTACATTAAACCAAGTTTTTTATAATTAAGTTTTACAAATTTTGATCAGGTTTTTGTATCAAAATGAAACTGAAGTACTCCTTTAGTTAATACACACGTTACAAACACAAATTATTACACAGCCCCAAAAGAAAAGAAAAGTACCCTGCGCGAAAGTCCACAGTACCATAACCCTATGTA